CAATCCAAAACAATCTTTTTATTTTTAAAGAAGAGCAAATCTAGCTGTCAGCTCAGCGAGGATTATTCCGCTATGGCTGGCTCCCTTACTTCCCCACCGTAATCCACCCAAAAAACTCTTGGTGAAGCCTTTCAAAACAATTTATGCAAACAAACATCAAGCTCAGCTATTTGTATTGGCACCATCTCTCACTAAACCAGACTGAACCCAGACCAGATGGGGCTGGGCCTTTTCTGTCTCTATGTGGTGCAACATTAGAGGCAGCTCCATAGACACTCTCAGCAGAGAGTGTTTCAATATTTAGACCACTTCTCCTCACTTTCACCACTTCTAGGTGTGTGTGTTTATCTGTGTAATGGATTGCCACAAGAATGGAAGACATCTCAAGGGAAATATCCCAACTTTACTGTGTTGCGTTATGCTGATTTTCCCCCCATAATTCCCCCTTGTTTTCTGTGGATGTATCTGAAGGCATTTTATGATGAATAAAAGCTGTGCTGTGGGTGACTTTCCGACTGTCAGAATGTTGATCACCATTTGCTCATAGTTTGGTGCTGCAAAATTCAAGCTCCCCCGCATCAAACTTATGGCTATACATGAGAGGAAAGATCCCGATACATACCATGACCTGTCTAGTGTTGACAGCAGTGGCTGTGCTGTGGCCAGTAATTGGACTGACAGTAATAGGAACTGTCTTGCTTCCTCTGTGGGCCCAGGAGATAGGCCACAATGCTGCTGTGGATTTAGAAGCTGCAGTCAGACGGAAACCACGCAAGTCCAATTTTCCTTTTTTCTGCCTTTTTTTAAACACTGACAAGATCATTTATAAGCTGAGTAAATTTCATGACCAGTGTGCGCTTGAAACTTGGTCGATCGCCAGGGTGCGATTTAAAAAAATACACAGTTGTCAATGAAAAAAAAATTAGCCCTCCATCCATCATACCAGAGGAACTTGTTTTTTTGCAGATACATGTATTTACCCGAGAGCGGCGTTTTGCTGCTGCTGGCCCTCTGCCTTGAGGGAAAGTTCGGTCTGAAGTCAGCAGCCATCTTGGCGAAGACCACACATACACAAAAACGGGCATGGTGGAAGGGAGGGAGCCTACAGAAATTCCTCACTGGCAGCGATTGAAAATATGTATTTAACTTGTGCGTGTCCAAATAGAAGAGTTAATGCTGAAGGAGACATGGATTCAAGTGCCACCTTTCTGACACACCCAGAACAGATATGTTTACATGCCATTTTCTGACAAGAACACACATATGTCTTTTTTAGGCCTAAGGCCTCCCCATAAGATGGCACATGGACACACACGTCATCTGATTGAGCCAAAGCCTACCTCTGCACACATCTATATCACGAGACACCCGGGGGAGAAAATATAGACACACATTCCTTCCACTCATTCGCCATCCCTGTTACCTCCACTCACACAAGCTGTGGGAGCCAGGATCCCTCACCATAAGCAGTTATTTCGTAGAGTTACTGCCAGCACTCCCTCTCTCTCAGTGACAAGCTACAAATCCCTGACACCACCAGTGATGATAGCTTTACAGTAGAGCCTCAAGGGGACTCTGCCAGCCAGCACACAAAAACAACGCACTCATGGCTTTCTGTCTTCTTCTCTTTTCTCAGTGTCTTGTTTCCCTTCCACCTCTCACAGAAGCTCCTCAGGCTTCTGGGAAAAGGGGATCCCAACAAAAGTTGTTGCCCGAGGTTTGTTTGAGTTAAACATCTAAATGCAAGTCATCAAAGTGACACTGTAACAAAAGAGAAACCAGTCCTGCCAGCCCATGCATGTACACATCCATGTTTAAATTATAGAAAACAAAACCAATTGGATTTATGTGTAATTATGCTCTTCCAAAAATACACACTGTCTTTTGAGTTCAACATACAAACCAACACACACAAAACCCTTAGTGGCATTACTTATACAACAATCAAACTTGTACAGTCATCACATACAATTATCCCTTTCTTCTCTGCACCAAATGACAATTGCCATGATGTCATTGTTAGTTTACTCCCTTTGTGTTTGTTTGATGAAGCTTTAATGACTCCCTGCATGTCCTGTAATTACTTTTCATCACTAGGGATGTTTTATTTTTCATGATAAGCGGACACTGCTGTGACCATATCTTTCATGCCCCTACTACCTTTCACTCTAGCATTAAGTCATTTGATTTTGATTATATATGTATATATGTATATATACATATACATATATATGTATATATACATATATATATATATATGTGTGTGTGTGTGTGTGTGTGTGTGTGTACATTTAAAAAACTTGTGTGTGTGTGTGTGGCATGTAATAATTCCAGATCACAAGTGCTTTGGATTTATTGGCATATACCAATTTGGCTTTAATGAGATCACACACCTCCAGGTAGGTGCTGCTCCATCCTCTGCTCAACTCGGGGTTCTTCATCCTTCTCTTCATCTTTCTGAACTTATTACCATTTCATACACCCCCCCTCTCCACCTCAACCAACAGTGCTGCTACCCCCAACTGATGAAAAACCAGAGAGGCTTTGTGTGGTTCATTAAGTCAGCATAGGAAATGTATTAAATAGGAGAATAGGGCTGGGAGCTATTGAGTGTTGACTTAACCTTTCCAATTTTTTTTTCTACAGAGTGAAGCTTCACATTACCCAGTCTCATTAGGAACTGCTTGGATCAGTCAGAGCAAGATATGATAGAGCTTTAGGCTTGCTTTTTTATCAAATAACATGAGTGCATGTACTAAAAGGGTGAATGCCTTTGTCTGATCGCAGTTAAATGTTGTTACTTAGCTAGTCTTGGGTCAAAGAGTTTTTCCACTAATTGCACTGGTTTGTTGCACCCTGTTCAACCCTGTATTCAAGAACTCTAATGTTCTCAAAAGGAAATAAAACTATGCACAAGAAACAAATCTGCCATTAAATCAATCACTGAGCTACTAATGTGATTAGGCAAAACAGATCCTGTTAAAAAATGGCACCAAAGTTATTTTGCACACGTGTTGGAGGGAGGGGACACTTTGGTCAGTCTGCTATTACAACTACCGTTCATTTCTGCCTTATTCAGTGAAATCTGCACTGACTGCTGTACATGCATTATGCATCAGTGTGTCCATATGCACTTGGCCCATCATGCATGCCCTTGTAGAAATGCATCGGCCACTGTCATGCAATTACATTTAACTTGTTTCAACCTCCTTTATGGGCACATTTACCAGTAATAATGGTTCAAGCTAAATTTGTGCATTCTCCTATTAAGTGGTAATAGTCTCCCTTAATGGTTATTGGAGAGTTAAAATGTTCTACTTGACTTATTGGTTTGATCTGCAACACAAATATTTAACAGCACCCAGCAAGAAATATGCATTAGGATATGAAATGACCTGATTTTTCTTTTTGTATAAGACCAGCAGGTCCCTGGGGTTTATTCAGAATTTTTCTTCGGTTATAAACTACAAACAGAAAACAAACCCATCACCACACCTTTTTCACTTTTGTTTCCTTTGAATAACTTTGTATGTCTACAATTTACTATGAGAATGTAGTTTATAATGAAGTCATCTCATATTACACTTCCCATGTTTGTTTAGAATAGAGTATATTTTAACTGACAATTTCACATTGTGTTTAAAATAAACTAGCTTCCACGTAAAAATAAGAAAAAGTGAGAGAGCTGGATGATGTTGAGCTCAGGAATGTTTCCTAATTCGAGCAGATTAAATGTTTGATGCTGTTTGGTAACATTTGAAATGTGACCTGTCCCTACTATCCAAGAGGCTCCTGTTGGAGCTTATACTTGCATGTGAGCACTTATATTAAAAACTCTTCTGGACTAAAGAAGTTATGTGTGCGTCAGATGTGACTGTGGGCGTTTGAGACTGGCACTTTCTGGACCACGACCACTCCGTCCACCATATCTCGTTGGAGAATCTGTAACAGGGAGATCTCGATCTCATCCACGCGGCTCTTTAGCGCCCCTTGGAGAAAAAGCACGTAATCGCAGATGGATCTCATGGGGAGTCAACGCCAGTCATCAGTAACGGGAAGTCAGGGAACTGGCAGATTTGGCGCAAGATATCAGTCGTGGCAACGGATAACTTATCAAGCCCTGAACAGAAAGAGGCAGATCACATAACTCAGTGGGACTGAGCATTGTTGTCACTATCATTACAAATGTATGTAGGGTAGGGTAAGTAAAACCTCTCCCCTAAGACGCCTACCACGTCTAGTCCAGCACAGCACAAGAGGAGAGGAAGAAGAGAAGGCATAGCTTGTTTTTGTTTAGGAGAGAGTGAGAACACCGATGATAGTCAAGATGCTGGTCTAATACGGTTTAACATGATTTCAAGTTTCATTCAGTGTGAAGCGTCTTCATTCCTTACCCATCTTTCAAGTGAGCTTCATTCAATTAAAATGCAATTGTCGTCGCCCCATGCACGGATATTTAATTAAACTGTTGAGCACGGCTCTCAGAGTCTTTTCTTTTTTTCCCCCCTCAGTTCTTCGGATTTCACCTCCAAGGCATATTTTCACTCTGTTGATCGTTGGTTAAACAAGGGCATGTATCCATTTGTTAATTGATATAATTACGCGTAATGGTCACGTAGGTCTCCTGGCACGCATCAATCACTGGCCTATTGACCTGCCAAAACCCCTCTAACGGCTCCTGGCGGGACTGCCCCTCTCTCAAACAGAAGGGGAGAGAAGCATCAACCCCGGTAACTTTATTATGGACCTGTGGCCAGGGAGTTAAGCAAAACAAACAAAAACAATATGAATGTATACGTTTACATCATCTTTAAGATGAATCAGAAAATAAAGAAAATTCTTATGCAACTTTTTTCCCCCCAGATAAACAACAGTATATTAAATCACATCTCATGTAGAAAAAAAAAAGAAAAAAGACGGACAAAATATCAAAGATATGTCTTTATTTCTTGTTTTTATTTCACTTCACAATGTGGTGTGTTAATACGGTACAGTTTTTGCCGGATAATAATCTCAGTAAAAAGTTATACTATTAGAACAGCAGTGCATCGAAGTGTACAGTGCACCTTAAGAAACCCCTGCGTTGGATGTGATTGGCAAAGACATTATTCTATCCTTGGTACCCTGCCGTTCCGGGATTACAGTGACGTCACGCTGATACCCTTGCATGGATGAATGCTAAAGAACTATAGAGCCACAAATAATAGCACAAGCAGAGTCCATATCTTGGAAGACTTACGTTATCCTTTAAGCCTCCTTCAGCTAACACAACAACATTTTTTCACTTAATGACGCTTAATTTCATTTCTTATCGGGTCCTAGGAGGGATTATTCATTCATATAAAACAATCTCCAGCTGGTGCCAGCCTAAAGTCTCCCTCCTTTGAGTGAAGTCATCTATTATTGAGCGAAAGGCCGTGCGTGGAAATGTGTGGAAGACGGTGGATTTGAAGTAGAATTGGTTGCAATCGATCAAGGGTGAAGAATATTCCTGATGGTAACAAAAGAAGCAGCTATGTCTTTCTCGCAGTTTGGATACCCTTACAACGCAACTTCACAGGTAAGCCACCACAGTCTTTTATTTCTCCAAACTCCACTGTCTGATCAAAGTGGTGACTTTTGAATGTTTTCTTTCATTTCACGTAACATAGGACTTTCCTTTTCATAGAAAAGCTCATAATTGATCGGCGGAACTGAAAACACTGCATCTTTTTTTTCGCGTGGGGCTTTTGTTGTTCAACCAAATATCGATATACACGAACCCGTGTCCAATTACTCTAAATTATGAATGAACTCACGTGTTTTTTCTGATGACAATAGGGATGAATGTCACCTACTGCACACAACGAGCAGTAATTACGCTGTTCGGCATGCTGTGCTCCTTCCTAAACTTTCTGTTGGGATTAATAGGCCCTATAACATATAATTATGCTGAACCTATAAAAAAATTTAACAGAATTTAAACCGATATAACGGTTATTGCTCCAAATGATAAGTTGGAAGAAGTTCATGCTGCCGAAGGCATAGAAGTTACTGGCAAAGTTAACAGACAACTTTTAGCTGGATTCAATCCTTCAGTAAAATACTTGGAAATTGTAAATACGTCCAGATTTGAGGTGATGTGGTGATTATTTTGAGTCTGACTTCTCTTCCTCTATATTTTAAATAAGATAGCTGGAGCATGTCACTTTTACGCACACTTTGCGCAAAACTCTTAACTGTCTCATAATCTCGTGCAAAACATTTGCCTTTGCAAGTTACTTTTACGAAAAGTTTTAGATTTTTGTAATTTTGTTAAAACGTGCAGAAAGGCAGTGGTGAGATTTTTCGCAATTGTGTCCGATGGAGTCGACTTTCTCTCTTTCCAAGAATGTTTTTTGAAAGGTGACTTACCTTTAATAAAGGCAAGTTAACACCTTATTCACAATGGATAAACGGACGCGCGTCAGAAGTAGGTAAATAAAAACAGCGTCCCTTTTTCTCCCGTTTGAAGAAACACACAGTAATGGTTGAGGTAGACAACGTTTTGCGGTGCAAATAGCTCACAGTCACTTTTGGATTTGACACAGACATCCACGTAAGAACTGAAACAGCCCAGTGACTATATCTATCCACGGTTCTCTTCATACAGTTTTTCGTGTCGGCAAACCCCAGTACGACTTGCTGCGATTCGATTTCCAGGTCGGTCTCTGACGGGACAGGCGGCTCCCAGACCGCCGCGGCCGCTGCGTCCTTCTGCTGCCCGTCCTACGAGAACCGGCTCCTGGCGAGCAGCCGGACGGAGCTGAACGCCGCGCTGGGGATGTACAGCTCTCCTTACGCCGCCGCGGCCGCAGCCAGCCAGAACTACGCCAACTACTTCCCCTACAGCACCGACCCGTCCGCTATCTACTCTACTCTGGTGGGGCTTCTCTCATGCGCATAGGAAGGGGGGGGGATCGGTTTGATCGATCAGCTGGGCTTGATCAATTTATCTCAAACTGCAAATGACAGTCTTAACGCAAATGCAGTTCTTAATATCAAAAGAAAAAAGTTTTTAAAAAAATCTAATTGAATTAAATAAAAACATTGCCGAGAAGAGAGGAAAGCCAGAAACTGTTTATCTAAAATTACATCGATAAAGGAATACTCCCCCATCCTGCTTAGTTTCAAACATATTAGTATCTGTAAATATTACAGCACCAGCCTTTAAATGAAGTAAATTAATTATATCGAGTCACTGATAAGAACTGCTACTTGAACAATAACTGTTGGAGCAGACATCCGACTTAATGGTTTGTTAAATGGACACTTACATTCCACCTGATAATTTCCTCCTTCACTTCCACTCCAACAGTTTGATTATGTTGAAATAAAAAAAAAAGTTAAATGATAGTCCAGATAACAATATCAAATAACATAAAAATATTATTGCAAATAACATTGGCAAATGTAATGTTTTTTTCTTTCATAATCTGAAGAAATATCCTCAAAACTGATCAATTTCTACCTGTTCTGAGAGCATATGAATCAAGAAACATCCTTAATGTGTTTTCAAAGCCTTCAAATGGACCTAATAAGTTTTAAATTCAAAAGTCAAACTCTTTTCAACTTACACTCTTTTGCAGAATCCACAATATGACATCAAGGACAGCACAGGCACTTTGCACTCTGGCATCACACAAACTGCTGCATATTATCCCTACGATCATTCACTGGGACAGTATCAATATGACAGGTAAGTTGTACTTATTTTTGCTTATTGTTTATTATATGCACCTGCCAGTAGGGAGTCCTCCACTTATCGGTAGAAGCAGTGCTTCACAGGGGCAATTTGTCCCATTCAGTCTATAGGTCATAGTGTAACTCAATATTGGTGCTCCACATCAAGTGACGCTGTATATATTTTAAAAAGTAAGGAGTAAGAGTATAAGGATGTCTGAGTGAAAAGGTTATGACATGCTTCACTAACTACACTAATGACAACTTGATGCCTGTCTGATTTCATGTGTGTCATATTCCAGATACGGGACAGTAGACTTCAATGGCACAGCTCGAAGAAAGAATGCCACACGTGAAACTACTAGCACCCTGAAAACTTGGTTGTATGAGCACCGGAAGAATCCCTACCCCACGAAAGGAGAGAAGATCATGCTTGCCATCATAACTAAAATGACCCTTACCCAGGTGTCCACCTGGTTCGCCAACGCCAGGAGGAGGTTAAAGAAAGAGAACAAGATGACCTGGTCGCCAAAGAATAAGGCCAATGACGACAGGAAGGACGACCTTAACAAGAGTGACCAGGACTGTGTCACCAAAGGTAAGTGTTTTTTGTTTTACTACTGATAGAGTATCTAAGCAATATTTGGACCAGTAGTTACCTGTAAAATTAAATGACTGATGAACAGTATTTAAAAGAATTCCACACAATAACAACTTTATAAACTAAGTAGCACTTATCCAATTCATGCAGATTCCATTGATTGCAAAGAGGAGAAGGATCTCCATCTGAGTGACTTGGACGACATGGACGACGACGACTGTGACAAGCTGGACAGTGACTGTGAAAAGGGGGCGGCAGATGAGCAGGGCCTCCAAAGGGCCGTATCTGGAGCGCCTCACAAAAGGGACTGCAGCTCTGAGCTGCACCTGAGTTTAACTAACAGCTTTCACTCATTCCCCTGCGCCGTAAAAAGTGTCACCGCTCTGCCCCCTCTCCAGTCCGATTTCCTGGATCATGCTGTGTCCAAGGCAGCCTCTCTCACTGGCCCATCGGCAGGTACAGTGTCCCTGTCTCACTTTGAAGCATCAGACAAGCCACGGATTTGGTCTTTGGCCCGAACAGCGGCTTCAGGGGTCATACTAAGCCCTCAGGAGCATACCCCTGAGCTGAGGACAGGAAACTCAACTGGGGACTGCCAGCTACAGAGCACCGGACTTTCAGAGGTTCCTTCTGGACAATGTGGTACCATGAGGGGCCTCCATGACTCAACCAGTGTGAGCAGCGCAGACAGCCCATTCCCTGATGGCTCATCCTTGCACTCCAAAGTTTACGGCACAAACAGCTACACTCACAAAGGCCTCCAACTTCAATGTCCATCCTACACTGCACTCCCAGATACATGTCAGTACTCCGCAATGGAAGGTATGTCTTTCCTTTTCCTTCGGAAGACTTCATTTTTTATTTGATTTAGCAGCACAATCATACATCACTTCCTCTGTTGCTAATTGAGTTGCCTCATCTTTATGGAATTTGTTTTTGTTGGTTTGCAAAATTTCGGAAAGTAATGCTCAGAGGAAAATAGTTTCTACCTACTTCTCCTTGGTGTGATATCTTGAGATGCACTTTTCTGTGATTGCGCAGGATTCCCTGGTGGCAAAGCAGAGATTCATTCGTCTGACCTCAGTGAAGCCTGTGGGACCATGCAGGATGACAAGGGCACTGCGTTTAGACTGGTCATGAAGAGGTGAAGCAGGTGAGAGTCTGCACGCAACTGGAAGCAGCCAGTGAAGTCTTAACACACCTACATGCACAAGAGCAAGAGGATGATATGAAAAATTCTATCTATCTATCTATCTATCTATCTATCTATCTATCTATCTATCTATCTATCTATCTATCTATCTATCTATCTATCTATCTATCTATCTATCTATCTATCTATCTATCTATCTATCTGGATAGACACTTTTAATAAATGCATCACCAAAAGAATTATTTATTATGACAGTACGAACTAATTCTGAATGATTGTTGTTTCTTATTTTCCCTCAGAGTCAACTGGAGAGTGTGAGACATTGAGTAATGGGAGGTTTATTATGCACTAGAGGACACGCTGGTCGAGTAGCGGCCTCAGTCTGACACACGGAGCTGCTGCTGTGACAGCCGTCAAACTGTGGACTTGACTATCATTTTGCACAACAGTGTTTTTATGGTGTTAAAGACTTTATGCAAAAAAATAAAAACACATTCTAGATGCAAAAGTACGACAATGACACGATTGGAATCGGCTGGATTTGTGTAAGGCAATCTCCTAGTGTAGACAACTTATTTATTTCTCTGTGTATTTATGATTTTGTTTTGACGTCTGTTTGGTTATTATTTAACGTGCTGGTTTGTTGGATTTGTATCTCCTTTCAGTGTTTTATTATATGTATTGTTATGTGGCTTCGTGTCATTTTGCCGGATGTAAAAGAAAAAAAACGCTATAGCAAAATTGGACTGGATCTGTCGTGTTGCGCTTGCACTGAGTTTATTTATTTATTTATTTTAAGTTTTTTAAAACCTCTTTTTGTTGTTATTGTGTTTAAACTGTGAGCTTCTCTTGTGTTCGCTATTCATGGCATTTTTCTTTTCTAACAATACATTTTTCTTTTCCAAGATCTTTCGTCTTATGTGTCAAGTTATTTACAGAGCTGATACTCCGACCAGCCAATTAAAAAACATTTGCAGATGTGAATTTGATCAAAGTTTCGAATCTTGACTCGATGCAGCGCTGGTGGAAGGTCATAATTCAGAGGGAGGACGTGAGTGAAATCCACAAGTTGCGGAAGAAAGGGGACTGCGTCTCTCTATTGTCAGTTTTTAATCAGGAGTGGCATCAAACACTTTGTAACTGTTCGGGCCGAGCAAAAAGACAGGGGCGTGGGATGAATGCTGCTTTGTCCCTTGTGCAGTGTGCCTCTGCACTAAGTTAACATTGTGTTAATTAAAAGGTCATTTGTAGGATCAAACATAGCAGAGAGATTCACATGGTCCGTCAAAGTCCCTTTGATTCGGCGGCTTTTCCTATGGACCATTTCGTCATTGGCTAACCATGCCCTTCCTTACAGATGAACGGAATAAGATGATCACTGGTGCGTGGTCCCTGCTGACAGTCTGTAAAAATCGTGAACATTTTATAATCAAATTCTTCAGAGGGGATGCTCTGCAAATCTATTGAGGATGGGACGTTGACAACCTTCCAAAAGTATTCAACTTGAAAATTCAAACCACTTCTGATGGGCTAAAAATTGTGTGATGCAGACTGTGTTTAAGAGTTGGCTTGTTTTAAACTAAAAGTGAAAACTGAAAAACTTGGTTTCTATCTTCGCCTCCTCTCTTGGTTCATGGAACACTGAACAAAACTCACTTGACCCGGAAGATTTTTAGATTCCATTAGTACATTTGATTCAAGTTGCCAGACCGCTTCCAAACTGTCCTGCCCAAACGTCATTTCTGCTCATATTTGAGGGATTATGTTTGTAATAAAAGTGTTTATAGTTTTGTGGCAAATTTGGGTACAATCCTGCACCGCTGTGGTCACCCTTTGTGTCCTTGGCTGATGAAGCTTTTGAGGATGCGGGCTGGTAGACTAAATCTAAGAGAGTCAACATGATTTGGAAGAGGAAGGTCAGACTAAATAACCGCGGTCTATTTAGATTATATTCCCACTTCAATATCCCAGAGGGATTACCCAACCCATTGGTAACAATCTCAATACAGATAATACTTTTACAATATCAGAATTCCACATGTACCTGCAAGTAGTATAAGAAGAAATATTAAACCCGTACCACACTGGAAGTCACCTGTAGGACATGACATACCATCCTTGGACCTGAATGGATGTCTTACACATAAACATAGCAGAAAAATCAAAGAATAAACTATGATAAATAGTTCTGGAAATGTGATGATGGTATAGGTGTAAGTTCTCCATAGCTAACTGGAGAGAAAAATAACACTTCCCGACAATCGTTGATGTTTCCGCCTCTATAAGCCTGCCCTGCAGGCCTGGTAATGACAGATTGCTAATGGGAAGCCTTACCTCCCTCTGTCACTCCAGACAATAATCACCCATGACGCTCTCTCTACATTAAAATGTCGGGCTGACGTGTATCAAATATTTAACACAAAATTTAATTAAAACACAGCCTGTAAAGAAAAGCTGCCTAACGCTGTTGAAGGTAATGATGCATGCGCAATGGGATTACCACCATGGCGACATACCTGGGGAGACGCAGGCCCTATAATGGCCGTGATGGGCTTATATTGCAGGCTGTGCTGAAAGCAGCAAACAGGTCAATTAAACTGTTCCATTCATGAGGTTTAGCATATGTACGGCTGGAGCAACTGCGTCCATTAGCTGGCATGCTGTCCACTTAGGTATCACAGATCAGAAATGCTCTTGTTTTTCCACGTGTAAAGAGTGGAGAGAAAATACTTTATTTCCAAAAATAAATCTAACAAATTATCAACAACTGATGCAAGAGTGTGTAAACAGGCATCTAGCTATGTGTGTTGTCGTTTGATGCAGGAGAAGGGGAGCAGACACACGGTTTTCTGTTTGCCTGACATCTTTTAATCTGAGACCAGACTTGAAATTTGTGACAAACTACAATGTTACAGTGTAATATGTTGTTTAGGTAGCCTATATGCACAACCAAATCTCCCTAATACATGCCTTCCTCTTGGTAAATAACATTTTTCATTATGTGGGAGGGGGTGGCGCCTAAACAGCATGTTTGCATAATCCAAAACAGATTTCAGATAATCTGTGAATGAGACACGAAAATGCAAAAATAGAAAAACAAGCTATTGTAAACACGAGCACTTAAATAGGTTTGACAACTCTAATCTGTGACCATCCCCTTGTATGAAAGCAGAATGTGTCTGTATATTGACATAGCTTTAACCCTTTAAAAGGTGGGCCAAGAAAAAATAGAGACATTTTCTTGTTTTGTTTGAACTGTTTATTTGGCCCTTTAACAAAATCTAAAACATATTCAGCCTTTATCACCATGTGATAAGTAAAAATTGTTGTCATGTCAGATAATCTTATTGTGTTAAACAATGTTTTGAGCAAAATTTCTACCATTAAATGATGTAAAAGGTCTTAGGTGCAAAACATTTCAGAAACTGTAAAAATGACATGTGGCACTGTAGAGTCCAAACAAATCAATATGTTTACATTCAATTCCACATGCTTCCATACATTACTCCCTCCCCCAATATACCAGTGTGCTCTCATGGATTACTGGACTGTTTTTAGGGGGCCACGTTGCTGCTCACACCCTGTGCTCTTTTCCAGTCCACGTGCCAACTGACTGTCAGGGTGACAGGTGGTGTACTGTTAAGTCAGTGCTTGGACACCATGACAATGATGAAGAGGAGAAGACTTGTGATTAATTGTGATTTTCATCATCTAAGATTGAGTCCGACCCCCTGTGGAGCTGTGTCTTCACAATTAAACAAAGGGCAAATATGCTGTAACACATTCATAACTTGAAGCAATCTTAATCCGTGACAGGATTGAGACAAAAGACAAAACAGAGCATCTAATTAGTGTGACTGACCTCTTTTTTCCGTCTTTGTGATCCTTTTTCTATTTTTCAGCCGCTTTGGTCAAAGGCGATGAGTTAATTAGCTGCATATAAACACTTATACACAAACGTAGGGAGTTGTATTTTAGGAATTTCTTCATGCGATCCATTTATTGATGATTTTGTGTGTTTAACCATTGCTTTCAAAGAAGAAAACAGCTTTTTTCCCCCTCATCTATACAGTCAACCTTTTACAGCTCCAATATCTTGAAATGTGGAACTTTTGTCACCTGCTATGTGACTCACCATAGAAATGTAACTTAAGAAGAAGAAATAAAAACAATGCTGAACATTTCAGATAGATAGTTATGTGTTCATAAAGTATGAAAAAGTCTGCAAGTTGTTAGAAGGACATTATGGAACACACAAACATGACATGCATTCATCAATTGTTTTCTTTTATTTTCCATTACCAAGGCTCATGAAGGGTTGACAATGTCTCTCAATGAGCACTGGATGCTGTGCAATGTTAAGCTAAAGGTCAATGAGGGGTTAACCTCTGACAATGCACTGTTAGGAACATCCATCACATGTGCACTTTTTGTCATGGTCCCCACTTAATGAGCATGTGACTGCAGTGTAAAAGAATAGAAATTATTCTGAGACGATATCAATGGCCTCTTTGTATAAAGCGGAGCCTTAATAACAACAACAACTTTGCAAACAATAATTTGCCCTCTACTCTGACAAAAGAGCCATCGTGGAGGTGCCATTTGATGTGTCCCACGCTGGGCAGCTAAGGCTCATAAAATAAAATCTTTGTTACGATGGCTCAGAGTTCAGATGAGGGGGACGATAAACACAGTTCATTACATTTTGTCAAAAGGCGCAATGAAATGTGTGTGGGACATTGTTTCTGTGCATGTCTCCCTCCATGGAATTTCTGATTGCTGATGTTGCTACAAGGTCTCTGCTAATGAGTTTTGTCAAAGACAATTACAGACTTGGAGGAATGGACAGAGAGGGGATGAAAAGCTGGCTTTGTGTGGTTTGGGTAGATGTTGCATTGCGACCCCTGCTTCTTACTCTTACCTTTTGCTGACCTGTGCTTCATGTCCAAAAATTCCCGGCCCCAGTTCCATTATCATCAAAGTGCTTGAGGCAAAGCGATCTGCTCCTGCATGTCTGACCATTGCATACGTGCTCTGAGTAGGATTTCTGTGCTCCAGTCTAGATATGGATCATGGCACAAAGCGATACCAGTGCTTCCATTTCCCAGGGCCTTGCCTCTTTGCAGACTTTATTCCCCTCACAGTACACAGAGTAAAGGTTTTTATGTGTGCTTTTGTCTGTTGAGTGTGGATTTGTCTCAAAAAGGCTCAAATTTGATATTTCACCTCGTCTCAGCTCACTCAGGGTCTATTACAACTTCGGTCAGTGTGAGTGGGTACTTGTTAGCTCAAGCAGAACTATATCAAGCAGTGACTAACTGCATACTAACATGGCCTCCACTCATCCTCTGATTCTCCTCTAGCACCAATTTAACCCTTCTCATTGTTTCTGTCCATCTGTCAGTACCTTAAAAAGAGCAAACCCCGCATAAATCCTTCCACTGAAGTTGACTCAAGCGACAAACCAAAAGGCAAACAAACAAAGAGTCCCCATTTTGCCTAATTGAAGGGTAATCTGTATTTTCCCAGTTATCTCAGTTGTTGTGTTATGTTTGCGCTCTGCTTTTTTTAGTTTTTGCTTACTGATCTTGGGTTAGCGTCACTAACATCCAAATAATCTTCTCTGCCATTTTAATGCCCTTTAATAATCCCCTAGCATCTCATTTTTAATCTCATGCTTTCCTTGTGTTTTTCTTCTCCTTTATGATGGGCATCTGTTGGTCTTAACTGCCTGCTTCTGAGTCTCAGTTCTGCTCATAAAAATGGTCCATTAGGTTATGGATGGAGCTACAT